GAACGGGGCGGGGGGGCGGGGGGTGTAGGTGAGACCTGGAGGAAAATGTCTAACAATGAATGAATGACTGGAAACAAACCGAAAACCAAAAAAAAAAAAAACACCCCACAACATATTTAATGATTGTATGAAACACAATGTGAATGAGAGTATGTGAAGCACAGTTTACATGAATGAGACACACTGTATATGAATCTTATAAGCTAACTAACATAAAATAAAAATCACATAAAATGATAGTCTTTGAGCAAGCCACATATCTTTATTTGTTGAAATAATTTGAAAGCATCTGATTAAGCAACTATTGACTTGAAGAAAAAAGAGTCAGTATCCAGTTAATGTGCCAGTTGCTAAATGAAAGACTAGGGGCTACAAGCTACCAAAAGACACCAAGGAAGAAATACCTGGTCACACACTTCAGAAAATCAGCTATTGGGGGGAAATTGCATAGTTCCACTTTGACACACATAGTTATTATGGAGTGAAATTGGCTCAATGGAAGCTTGTGTTGTGTACCAGCTAGTAGGAACCAACTCATAGCTGTCCCTCCTTGCAGATTTTCAGAGGCAGTAAATTGCATAGGAGAAGATTGCCTGTCTTCCTTCTTCTGAGCCACTGGTAGGTTCAACCATGTACCTCTAGATTGGCAGTGCAGTTCTTTATTACCAAGCCACCAGAACTCCCTAAAAGTCAACTAGTTAATGGTTTGTCTACATGTTTAACAGCAAAGTAGGCTAAAGAACAACTTCACAATGGTTCCAAACGGATGGACCGTTTGGGTAGCTTTATGTGATGGAAACTTGGTTTCATAGAATAATTAAAACTTTTTCCAATTGCACTTATGGGTTTGTTTTATTTTTTTTAAATTGTTGGTTTGTTTGTTTTTTTTAAAAGGGACTATGTGATCTGTTTGAAGGTTATAGCAGAAACTTTCTTCAGAATTATATAGACACTGACTCTTAGGACAAAGGTGTTCTGCTACAATTTCAACAAATCAAGTGAAATCATCATGTTTTAAGTGAGCTGAAACAGGATTTGTTACTTTTATTTTCCTTTATGTCTGCTAGTATAAACTCACAGACATTTCCTATTTCCAGTGAATAAAATAGTTTAAAGGTAATTTTAGAATAGCATTGCAATGTTAAAATATCCAAGAATCTACAGAAACTATTCACTAGGAAGGGTAAATCTATAGTTTAATAAAGCATTAGTTTATTTTTCTGATGATATCCAAGCCTTAGGCATGAAGCAAAGCAAAAATAAAACTTTAACAACTAACATGAAAAGATAGCTCTGGGGGCCCAATTTACCTGTTAAACCAGTCATCTGTGTACCGAGGGTATGGATACGGATCGTTGCTGCTGAAGTCGTAACTTGCTTTGGCATTCTGTAAAACACAAGGTGTCTCATTAGGTCAATAAAGCCAAGGGGACAGGCATGAGGAAGTGCTGCGCTGCATGGTAGCTCTGTCTCCAGACCTCCTGGGAGTGCTGTGTTCACCCGCTGAGCTCAGCCACCCTGAAAACCATCACTGGGCTGAAGTGCGTACTTAGGGTTGTCTACCTTCTCATTCTCCTACTTTGTAAGCTTTCTAATCCCTTCTTATTTCCAACTTTCAAAGGGTTATTAAGTACAAACCTTGTGTTGTCCAGGTCTGTCTGAATTTTAAGTAAAGGTAGATTTGCAGGAAAATGTGTTTCATGTAAAATCTGGGTCTTTCCTGATGCTTCCTCAGTCGGTGGTCAGATGTTCTACTTCTCCTGGCACAGGTGGTCTGGGAGTTATGCAGAAGGTTTTCTTCCAGTTCTCTGCTTCAGATGGTAGCAAGTTTTGTCCTTTCACCCCTTATAAGCATTAAGTCCCAGCCCAAGCCCCTAAAATTATGTTATGGAGCTCATTCCTATTCACCTCATTCTTCATTCATCAAATATCATTAAAAGTCAATATCAGAGACTTGGCTAAGTTTAGTGACATTTCTGCTCTTGTGAACTTCTAGCCTAGTTAGGGAGACAGCTCTCACATGATCAAACAAGTTGATATAGAATTGCAAAGTGGATTAACTATACACTATTGAATCCTACATTATATGAACAGAAGTTCACAATCCTGTAGAGTCCAACATCTCTATTTTTCCAATTGAGTTTCCACTCACAGAAATCAATTAAGAATCTATATTTTATTTAAGTGGTTCAATATTTTAACCATCTAATATTTAAAATCTTGGCAGCATTGTAGGATAAGCATTGGGATGCTTACCAAAAGGTTGACAGTTTAAATCTGTTAGTCCCTTTTTGAGAGCAAGATGAAATACACTGAATTTAAGCCTAAAGATATACTTTGAAGTCAAGTCTTGAGTTATTGGAAAATGCTATAGGGCAATATATTAAATGACTCAGACTTACTGTACCAAAAAGAACAGACTGTCACTGGAAAATTTCAGGAAGTACTATCTAAGCAGGAACCAATAATAAGGAAAGAGGAAGTGGAAGCAGCTTTGAAGGCATCAGCAAAAAATAAGGGCCCAGAAATCGATGAGAACTCAACCACTTGGTTTGTTTCAATTAACAGATGCAGCCTTAGATGTGCTTATCAGTCTATGATAGGAAATTTGGAGGATAACTGAGTGGCCAACTGATTGAAAGAGGTCCATATTTGTTCCCATTCCCCTAAAAGATAATCCAACAGAATGTGGAAACCATTGAATAAAATTGTTAATGTCACATGCAAGTAAAATACTACTGAAGATCATTAAAAAATGGCTAAAACAGTACAAACACAGGGAACTTCCAGAAGCTCAAGCAAGATTTAAAAGAGGCCATGGCACCATGAATGTCATTGTTGATGTCAGATGGACCCTTGTTGAAAGTAAAGAATACCAGAAGGATGTCTATTTATGCTTTATTGACTATGTAAAGGCATTTGACTATGTGGATCATAAGAAATTATGGCTAACATTGAGATGAATGTGAAACCTAGAGCACTTAATTGTGCTCATGTGAAATCTATAGCTATATCAGAGGAGACTGTTGTGGGAACAGAGCAAGGGAACATTGTTGTTGTTGTTGTTGTTGTTATGTACAATCGAGTTGCCTGTGACTCATAGCGACCCTATGTAAAGAGCCCTAGATGCTATTCTATCCTGTGCCAACCTTGCTGTCTCGAACACTCTCATTCCCACCACTCCACTCACAGAATCAATCCATCTCATCGAGGGTCTTCTTCTCCTGAGCCATCCTCCCACTCTTCCAAACATGATGTCCCTCTCCAAGGACCAGTCCCTTCTTGCAACATTCCCAAAATATGTCAGACGAAGCTTCAGAATCCTTGCCTTCAAGGAACATTCCAGCTTCACCCTTTCCAGGACAAACTTGTTTGTTCTTCTAGCAGTCCATGGTATATTCAACACTCCTCTCCAGCACCACAGCTCAAAGGCATCAATTATCTTTCTATCATCCCTAGTCACTGTTCAACTCTCCAATACATAGCTCCTAATTGCGAAGACTATAGCCTGGATCGGGCTCACCTTAGTCTCCAGCCTGACTTTGTTGCTTTTCAGTACTCTTGAGAGGTCCCTCACAGCTGACTTTCCCAATGCAATTCCTCTCCTGATTTCTTGGCTGCTGTTAACAAGAGTGTTGACTGAAGCCAAGCAAACTAAAACTGTTAGCTATCTCAATCTCTTCACCATCCATACTGATTCTGCCAATTGGTCCAGTGGTGAGAATCTTTGTTTTCTTGATGTTGAGCTTCAATCCATATTGAAGGCTGCAGTCCTTGACCCTCTGCAGCAAGGGCTTCAGGTCCTCATTCCTCAGTTTTAGCAAGCAGGGTTGTGTCATCCTCATAATGCAGGTTGTTGATGATTGTTCCACCAATTCTGATGCCACATTCCTCCTCATACAGCCCAGCGTCTTGGATGACCTGTTTTGCATACAGATTGAAAAGGTATGGAGACAAAATACATCCCTGACAGACCCCCTTCTTGATTTTGAACCATGTAGTGTCTCCTTGCTCTGGTCTGATGACTGCCTCTTGGTCCAAGTATAGGTTTTGCATTAGTACAATCAAATATTCTGGGATTCCCATTCTTCTCAGAGTCAGCCATAGCTTGTTGTGATCCACACAGTCAAAGTCTTTGCATAGTCAATGAAGCACAGATAGACATTCTTCTGGTATTCTCTGCTTTCTGCCAAGATCCATCTAACATTAGCTATAATAGCCCTAGTGCCATGACCTCTTCTAAATCCAGCCTGCACATCTGGCAGTTCTCTGTTGACATATTGTTCCAAATGTTTTTGGATAATTTTCAGCAGAATCTTCCTTGCATGTGATATTAATGATATTGTTCAATAATTTCCATACTCTGTTGGGTCACCTTTCTTTGGAATGAGAACAAATATTGATCTTTTCCAGTCAGTTGCTCAGCTGTCTGTCCTCCAGATTTCTTGGCACAACTTAGTGAGCATATCCAGAGCAACGTCTGTTTAAAACTACAAAGGGAGTGTGTCAGGGTTGTATTCCCTCTCCATACCTATTCAGTCTGTATGCTGAGCAAATTTCTTAGAGAAGTTGGGCTTATGAAAGGGAATGTGACATTAGGTTTGGAGGGAGACTCACCAATAATCTGCATTATGCAGATGACACGACCTTGCTTGCTGAGAGTGAGGAGGACTTGAATCACTTGTTGCAGAAGATAAAAGAATATAGCCTTTAATATGGATTGCATCTCAATGTCAAGAAAACAGAGATTTTTAACCCCTGGACCAATAGGCAACATTATCATAGATGGGGAAAAGATAAAAATTGTCAACAACTTTATCTTATTTGGAATCACAATCAATGCCCTTGGTACTAGCAGTCAGGAAATAAGGAGACGTATTGCACTGGGAAATTCTGCAATCAGAGACCTCTATTCTAATTTAAATTAAACTGGGAATAACCTAACATACCCATTCTATGTGAGGGATAGCTTTATGGCGTATAAGCTTTTAGTTGACTGTTGTTCTCTTTAAATGTTTTACATATCCTGTCTCATTCACTTTTTTTTTAATTTCAATGAACATCTACAGAGATTATGGATTTCCATTCATTCATTATTGCACTTTTCTCCCCGCCCACCTCACCTCCACCCTCAGTTCGCTCTTCTCCTTGAAAAGCAAAAGAAAAACTTCTTCACTGATATACAACCCCCCAACACACCTCCACCCTGAGTATACTCCACTCTGCAACCCTTATTCCAGACTCTTATAATAATCATAATGCCCTAAAATATATTACTTTTAAACTATTCTCTCTCTCATTGGCTTCAATGCAGTAAACATTACTTATCCAGTCTTTCTCAGTCTTACCCACACCCTGATGTCAGCCTCATTCTACAACAGTGGCACCATGTAGTATTTGTCCTTTTGTGACTGAGATATTTCACTCAGCATAATGTCATCCAGGGTCACCCATTTTGACTAATATTGCATGAGTTCCTTGTTTTTCAATGCAGCATAGTATTCCATTGTGTGAATATACCACAGCTTCTCTATCCATTCGTTTGTTGATGGGCACTTAGGTTGTTTCCAACTCCTTGCTATTGTCAACAAAGCCGCGATAAACATGGGTGTGCATATATCTGCTTGGATGTTGGTTATGGTCTCTTTAGGGTATATTCCCAGTAGTGGGGTTGCTAGGTCAAATGGTATCTCTATTTGTAACTTTTTGAGAAAGTGCCACACAGCTTTCCACAGTGGTTGCACCATTTTACACTTCCACCAACAGTGAATAAGGGTTCCAGTCTCTTCACAACCTCGCCAGCATTTGTTGCTTGCTGTTCTGTTAAATTTTGCTAGTCTTACTGGTGTGAGATGATATCTCATAGTTGTCTTGATTTGCATCTCTCTTAGAGCTAGGGATTTTGAACATTTCTTCATGTGCTTGTTGGCCATCTGAATGTCTTCCTTGGTGAAGTGTCTGTTCATATCTTGTGCCCATTTTTCTATTGGATTATTTACCTTTATCTTGTTGTGGTGCTCAAGTAAGTTCTTTATCCGACATGTCATTTCCAAAAACTTTTTCCCAGTCTGTGGCTTCCCTTTTTACCATGTTGGAGAAGTTTTTGGATGTGCATAGTGTCTCATTCACTTTAAAAAAATTTTTTTTTCTCTGTCATTCACTTCTTGTCTGTTTAGTTTCTGCTGAGAAATCTGGGCTTAGTCATTGTTTGGCCATTTTAGGTAATATTTAATTTTCCCTGAGGTACTCTAAAGATTCTCTTTTTGTCCTTGGCTTTGGAGAGTTTGATTATGATATGTCTTAGTCTTACAAAGATGATATTTTAAAGATACACAGTACTCCCTGGTAATCTTTAGTTTATAAGTCAAACTGTTATTTAAGTCAAAA